TACCAAAGGGGAAATGTATAGCAAATGCATATAGCAAATGAAGAGTGAAATGAAAAGCTAGGAAGCACAGGACAGCCGTTTCGACCTGCTTGGATCTTATCAGCAGTGCGAACCCATCGACCCAAATGGGATATGTATATATATACCTTTGAGAATCTGACTTATTATTATTACTTATTACTTATTACACACACTTGTGATGAACAGCCCCCATAGTCACGAAGACTAATTGTTCAGTGATGGAAACCGGAAAACTAAGCCTCGGGAACTACACAAGGCCACGCTAGGTTGGTTGTGGTATTGACCTGGATGACAACGAAAATGCCTACCACCAAAGTTGGGTGTACAAGAATTCCTGATGCGTCACACATATATGCAGATATCTCATCCAAGGCGCTAATATCACCCCACCGCGCCGAATATGTCAAATGCATTGGCCTTGCACAGGGTGAGAAGTGAATCTGTAACTGCGTTTCTGATTGTACGTGTACACATAAAACAACGCATCGGTGGTGTTATTCCATCTCCAAACAAGATATACATGCCTCGACGCGTTCACACAAATCCGTCGAGGGTATCACACTTGTGGCCCAATCCGGCAGAGGAGCTGTGTAGGCCCAGTCCGATCCGGCGTACCGGTACGCGTGTAATTGTAGAACCAACTGACTCATTTCCGGATCCCGGTAGCATAGCTGACAGTCCGGACAGGTGGGATCAAATGAAGTAATCAAGCGATCCTGATCAGCTTGGCTTAGAGAGGATCGGGCCCGGACACGTGTCACAAATCGTTCACGTGCAGATTGCTCAGATGCGGAACTGTTTTGCTATCAGAGAGAGGGAAGTTAGGGGTGAATTAAAACGATACGAAAGTGAGTTTGCAACGCAGTGCCAAAGAATATTCGACTGTATATGAACAAGACAGAAAACAGCACTAATTGGGATTGCGATGTTTGTGACAAACAAACAGCTTCATACAGATTCTAATAGACTAGGGATATTTTTAGGACACACGCGGAGGTCAAATGCCACTAAAGGTCTATGGTGAGCGAAACTGTACACTATCAGACCAGTCTTCAGGAATGGCCGCCTAGGTGCTCAACCACGTATGTGGTCGCAGACGCTCCGCGACTATGCCTGAGGAAGTGTTGGATTTTTATCTGACAAGTCACCGTTGTGCAACAAAATACCACACATCCGCAGAAAGCATCGTGATGAGCGCGGAGGTGGCCCATCAGCAAAATATGGCCATCGCTATCTCCTTGTTACACCTGCAGGTAGGTCTTGACTATGCGCGGGACGAAATTCCCAGCCATTTTCGAAGGAAGCGGTTTATAGTTCCTCACCTGATGAAAAATATACTTCAAAAAAGCTTTAATGTGACCTCACTCACGAACCAGTATATACCGTCGAGCCCAGTATTGTGCAATTCAACGTGACTATTTAATGTAGGGTGTCGGTCCTATATTTAGGCAGAACATAGCAGGCCGGAGTAAAACTACGGACCGGGTAGAATCAAAAGTTGGTGAATGAGTAAGCAAACACTGGCGTGATACAGCTAGTGGAAGCCAGAATGGTCGAACTTTAAAGATGCATTCAGGTTGACCTGTTTCAAAGTGATCATCCTACGCTCACGACAAGTCTTGATACACAATGCGGCTGGCAAACTAATTGGACGGGAGTAATTCAGCAAAACAGAACAACCAGAACCGTGTATACAGTTTGCCCGGAAAAAATATATTCAGCTCCTTATGTATTTAGCTTTTAGGGTTAACAAACACATTGTTGAGTTAGTTACGCAATTGAATTGGAGTTTGGTTGGGAGTGCTGGTTTATCCATTCGTCTTAAATGATGCGACAGTTTACAGACCCTAAGAGACACGTCGAAGCGAGAGAAAAGTCGAACGCGGCGCACCTCTTCCTGCTCTCCATCCACATACATTGATCGAGTTCGCGCGATCGAAATTCGCCGGATTACCTCCTCAACGGGCATTCCATAGCGGGCACCTTTCCCCTTTTCGTCGCCCCAGTCGGTCGAATTGTACAGTGGGTCTTCTACAATCGGATAGCCTAAAGTGGGAAATCGGACAGAGAGTGGTATTATTACCAACTTTGGTTCGTGGAGAATAAAAATGAGTCAAACACTGAAGATTTTCTGAAAGTAATCGTAAATCAGTCAACCTGTCGCAAACAGAACCGTTCGTTAAAAATCATGGAGTTGCAACGTACGCTTGTCAAAAAAAAAAACACGAACTCATCGTTGAAAGGACTAACAATGTTATCCCATTCCGTCTCCATCCGCCATCAGGCCGGTGAGTCCATGGACAATCAGTGTCAGTTGGAGAGTCATCGTCCGAAAGTAAAACCTGTTCTGTTTCAATGACGAGTTTAAGCCTGACTTCGGAATGGGTCTCGTCCTAGTTTCGTGATCCGCTCCGAACTAGTAGCCTCAGGCTAGAAAAACCGTGAAGTACTCTTCATAAACGTTTCTAATGCCTTAGCAAATCCTCTCAAACTTTTGTCTAGTGACCAGATGACTCTTCTTTGAAGTCAAGTCAAGTATATGGTTCATGCACCTCGAGAGGTGAATAGTCAGCAGCCGCATAGTCAAAGTAGAATCAATAAGCAAGGAAAAATTACACCAGAATTCTGGAAGTCAAGGATAAAAAAACAATTTACGATATGAGTGACTTTAGTTCAGAAGCGATGCGTTCCGGGTTACCAATAAATTGGGCAAGATAAGGTACCAATAGGTGATTGTGCGCGCACCTATACAATTATAGTGGGATCAGGTGAAAGAAGACAAACACTTTATAATATCTGGATGTAACGGATGCAAACGGCTGTTCTTGACTTTTGTGGATAACGAAAGACAACTTTATAGGTTGTGAAATAATGATGTGACAGAATTTCACCGGAAATCCCTTTACTACCAGATAAATGTGTCAAGGATCTGGATAGCAACTTAAAGTTCTTCTTGAGCATCCCTAGGAAAAGTACAGGGGACCCGTAAACCAAACAAAGAGAACTTTTGAGGCATCGAGGTGATTGGGTAGATTTCCAACAATCGGGTATTTCCGTTTTTCAATCACTGGTTAAACAGAACTGTGAGCACTAGCGAAGTTGTATGAGCACATTCCTCAAGGATTTCGGCCTCCAACCTGTCGAAACCGAGTGATTTAGTGGGTTTGGAAACCAACGACTGCTTCAGAACATCCTCTTGTTAAATAGTGAAGCATTCTGTACCACTGAGGTCAGTTTTCGTGCTGTCAACGAACGGCCCATTTCCCTGTTACCGGTTCCTTTATTAAATATTCTATTCAGTTCCTCAATGTCCATTTTTGCTCGAGACACGATTGAGCAAAAGTTTGGATACTGTGCTAGGTGCTTACAATAGATGGAAGGATTAGGGTGGTAGAACATGCTGAAGTCTGTCTGAGAGACCACCACAATCAGTTTCTCCAGGTTCTCCGGGTTATATAGACGTTTCATTCTTTTGATGTCGCGGTTTTTCGTAAACGTTGTGATTGAATTTGCTGTCCGCTATTGGGACAACTTTAACAAGGTAGGCCCAATAGGGGAGCAGGTATATGCGAAAAGACTGACATTATTGACAAAGGACGTTCAAATGAGCATTTAATCTTGTTGGGAAGCTCAAACCAAGAACAGTGATCAATCTGCGATAATCATTTGATATTTCTGTAACTATTAGATAATCATATGGTGAATTTTGTCGTGTACAGAGTAAATGAAGCCGGAGTTTAAAAGCTAAGAAGCACTTAACGTCTGATTCGGCCGATATGAGCAAAATGAAAAATGGCCGGATCAGCTATCTAATGATCAAATCGATAGTATGCTTGTGTTCTACTTGTGAGTTCCCGGGTTTTATTCTCAGCTGGTTGATAGATTTTTGTACTGCTGAAGAGACTCAACAAGGTAGAGAGAACTGATCAGTGTTTCCTGGCTTTTCAGCTCATGCTTCATTCACTCTGTGCAGGACGAAATTCACTGTATGATCAAATAAATCCTTTACTATTTTCATGCAAATGTCGGATATTGCCAGAGAAAATCTAATTTTTCAAAGGAAATTCCCGCAACCTCGAAGGAAAATGGATCCGAACCAATCGGTGCAGCCGGGAGTTGACAGTGCTTCGTAGATGTTACTAGACTGGTGGAAATCAAAGGTACAGACAAAACACTGCAATCTGACTAGCCCACCCGCCCGACTGACGTTCTTGTGGTAAGGATACAAGAGATGATTGACGACTTCTGCTGCGCGGAAAAGAAAAGTATCAGCCTAATGTTTAACCTTTACATCTCAGACTGCACACTGCTCGATATCAGATCTAATTGAAGCCACATTCATACTTACCAAGGAACTGGAGATGTACACGAATTTGGTGTGTGCGACCGGTGTACAGACGGCAGAGAACTAAACTTGTGTCACTCGCAGCATCATATGCGAGCCGGATGAAATGTGTTCGAGCCGGTTTTCCGCCATCGGTCTCGGGTATCACTGCATGCAAACCCATCTTAGAGCACAAAGGACCAAGGGGTTCGGTGCAAACAATCACAGTGGGTTGTTCATGGTTTATGGGTGAGGAAGACGAAGACGTGGAATTTGATGTTACTGCACTATTCTGATCTATTATGCTTGGGAAGAAACCATCGGTTCGGCAGATATAAAACTAGAAAGAGAAAACAGGATGCATTAAAAGCCAAGGCGGATCTGGTTGAGTAAAAAAACGCTGATTGAAACGCGTACGAACGGGTGCGGTTAAGGGACAAGTTTAATTCACTTTTAAACCGAACAATGGAACTACCAGTGGAACCAAAAATTATTAAACAGAGAGACTGTGGATCAAACGATAAGCCAAAGCGATTGAGAAACGAAGTTGTCCACCTAACCTTCAGTATTATAGCTTTTCTTTTTACATGCATATTTTGTGTGCTCAACAGTAGACGGGTTGAACCCCGTAGTCGCGTTGACTTGCTATTCTGTGACGGGAACCGATAACCCCAGTCTCGGAACATGGAGTGGTGAATCACATAAGGCACCGCAGGGTTAGGCGTGATACTGAACCGAACGACAGCAAAGCTGACTACCACCAAAGTCGTATTGCGGTGGCAGGGTTCTAACCTCAGACCACAGAGTCCAAAGCGCATCCGTGATAGCGACTAAACGACGGCACCACCTCCAATATTGATGAATAAATGATAGCGGAGCCATTCTGTCATCCTACCATGCCTTAAACACAGGAGAAAAGAATAGTGATAAAATTGGCAAAAAGTCATTCTTGAATAGTATATACCATGAGGTGAGGAACTGTTGAAAGTGTGAATCCCATATTCTCTAGGCCCTACTAGTCACTACTGTAAATAATCCATTAAGATAGAGGTAAGACGACAGCGAAGTTGTCCATCACCCAAGGTAGATGGTTGTGGTAATGTTTGAACTTTGGTTTGTCAAACCTGATATATGTCAGTAACCGTGACTAAAAACTGCACCAAAACGGAAATCGAAAATGAAATCTACCGACGAAATAACTTCGCAGACAGGCATTACTACTAGACTTTAACTTGAACAGTTGCTAACTGACCTGAAACAAGGAGAACGTTTTAGTGACCAGTTTGTATTTCACTTTTTACAATCAACAACCACGCCCTTTCATGCGGTGGTTTTGGTTGCAGCCTTTTGGCTACCCAGTGAAAACGAAACATTTATAATTCAATGAAACGTTGTCCCATTCCAATCTAGCCTTCGACGCATTTTCCTTTTGATTATTGAGACAACGGGACGAAATTAATTCGGTAATTTTGGACTGTAACGTCAGTCTGAAATGAACAAAGAATCTACGCATAAAAACAGACCAATCAATTTGTACACTGGCTATATTTCAACCCCGGTCTGAGAAGTCCGCCGAACAACTGCTGCCCAAAATAGACTGGGTAGATCGTGTGAAGCGAATGCGATCTCTCATGCACGTCTCATTGTGTGACATTCTGTGAATGTTTAATTGTTCCATTGCTACTACTGACTGTTGTCAGTGGTCAAACTCTATTCGGACAACCTTCCCTGTTTCGTGCTTTCCTATTGGTTGACTGTAATCTGTCTTTGTCTTGGCGGCCGGCCATCTTGGTTTGTTTACTGTTTTGCTCTAACCACCACACATTGGTGGTGGACTGGTGCTGGTCAAATTACTTCGGATAAACACTAAAGACAAGAATCTGAGACGTTCCGACTATCTTCTGATATTGCCATTGACCTCGGGGTGCGTATATTAGATCAAAGACTAGCAACGTACCATATATACGAATCATGTAGCAACACACTGCTCTCCACCTCAGGTATATAGGGTTGGTGGAAGTAGTTTCGAAATTGATAACCTGTGCGTACACCAATGAATGTAGCTTGCTTTCATACCTAATACGTGTTGCGAAAGAAAACAGACACGATACAAACGTTCACACGTCGAGAATTTAGAAATTGGACGAATGGGCCACGTGGTATTTTGTAACTCTGTGGGATGGACTATAAAACATAGGGTCACGGGTATGGGACATGTGTGCTACTGGTTTGGACGACAGTGCACCGGTTTGCCGCTTAAGGGAACTCAGTAAACTGAGTTCCGACTTGACAGGTTAGTTAGATTTAACATCATTTGAGTATACTTTAAAAATGAAAGGAAGAGAAATGAAAACAGATCGAACTGTTTAGGGAAAAGAATGCAGAGGCGGATTGCGAACTCCGTTGTAGTTGGTAGAATATGACGCTTGACCTCTTAAAAGACTCCGAAAGCCTCAGTATGGTTGGGTGTGGGTGTCTAGGGTTGCGGCTGGTCAACCCTTCCTTGCACCTCGAGAAATGCTCCCATACGACCAAGCGTCTCTGTTGAGGAGGCCCAAACCACTGCCTTTTCGTGGCAGGGGTGTTTTTCCACCGAATTGAGACCACGAAAAGGCAATATAACCACTGGCGGTTCACTTAGGAGAGTTGGCCAAAAACCCTGATCCCAAACCAGCCAAGAAGAGGCGTACGAATCACATCCACATCCACACCTTCCTGGTTGTGGCAGTGGTCACCGGCTCAGTTGGGCACTTTGAACATTTTATTCCACCCGAAGGGTGTACGATCCGACACCAGCCCCAAATAGATTGCGGTTTTCACACACCGCCCCGTTGCCTTGTGAGTTAGGCTTTGGTTAACCGAAGGCTCTGGTTGTGAAATCCCTAAGAAAATTCACCTGCTTTGGCCTGGGCAACCTAGCAATATCGTGCCCCTCGAGAAAATCGTGGAACTTTTCATTTTTATAAAGATTATTGCACTTTGATCGGTCTCGGGCATCACTGCATGCAAACCCATCTTAGAGCACAAAGGACCAAGGGGTTCGGTGCAAACAATCACATCGGGTTGTTCATGGTTTATGGGTGAAGAAGACAAAGACGTGTGTGAAAAATATAAATATGTACCTCTTAAAACCCTTTCATTGATTGGAATAGGCTTCGTGCATATTGACTATGTGATTGCAATTATGTGAGTGATAACAGCCATCGCTTAAGTTTTCGTCAATCCCAGGATAAGCCAATTAAAAGGACTTCTATGGTNCATGAATAACTGTAGCCGCTGAGAATCTAATGTCTTGGTTTTGTTCCGCCAAGAATCCATGAATTCTCGTTACTTTGCAGTCCGGTTCTTAAAGACTACAATTATGATCGAAGACGAACATATTTTACATGAGAATTTCCGTGAGGAATGAATGCTTTGGTCGCAAGGAAAGCCTGAATGGATACAGTTCACAACACGAAGAAGAACGATAATGATAAATTACCTTTTTCAACTCTCGTTCCCCGATCTGTGTCGCCAGCCGAAGTGAGGCATCATAGTTCTTGGCAGCGATCATCACACCGGACGTCATCCTTACATCATCGAGGGGGGGGGGGGGGG